GGGATAATTACATATTTGATATGGACCATTGAGGTTGGATGATATTTGTCTTGCTTTTCTTGTTAGTGGTGAGGAATTTTTAGTTGAATAATGTGTTACAATATTTGTCCGATTATGTGATTCAAGTGTTGCAACAACTCCTGAAAATAATTTTACTACACTATCAATAATCATTTAAATATTCAAATAAAAGGTACTGTATGCATAGTATAAATTGTTTATCAATGAAATTAATTTATAATAAAAATGAAATTATCTACTAATCTTAATTGAAAATGACAAAATTATTTATCAGTAAAGTTAATTTATCCATAAAAGTCATTATATGATACTGAGTTAAAAAAATTTATTATAATATGAGACAATTAGTCATACAAGTGCCGAATACCATTTTAAATATAAATAATAATATATCTTTTAAGAAATTATTAAAAATTGGAAACATAGATTTTTCTCTCTCTTGAAAATTTAAGTATAAATTTCTTAATGATGATCTGTGTAATACATGGATGTTATACTAATAAATATGAAATATTAATATAAATTAAGAAAAAAAATCTTATTATTGATCAAAATAGTTGTATTATTATAATATAGGTAAATTTTACTTATAACAACTAGTGCGTGACCCGTGCGATGCACAGGAAAACAATATTACAATTGTATTATAAATTAAATATATAAATAACATTAATTATGATTTATCCATTGTTTTTAAATTAAACCGGGTTGGACACAGTCCGACCGGATGGACCGAGAACCGGTTTATAACCAGTCTAGTTCGTTTGAATAAAATATTTGCTCTCGAATCCGTCAACACCAGTCGGTTGGACTGGTAGGATCGATTTTCTAAATAAATTTTGTTATATTTAAAATTATTTTAAATAAATTACACATTTAAATAAAATAGAGATTTATAAATTATTTATCAATTAGTTTAAACATTTGAATTTATAAATTGTTTAGATATCTAAGTAACACATTTTATTTAAATTTATTACAAAAAGTACTATATGTATATATATATATATATTAAAATGTTTATAAATTAAAATATGAACAAACCACAAGTGATTTAATAAAATAAGTTGATCGTTTCGATGACGGTCCAGCTCTGAAAACCTTATATTTACTGTATATTGATAAATATTATAATAAAATATTATTTAATTCACATAAATATTAATAAAATGATATCTAAATATTCATAAATCATTAAACATGTTGTAATAAAAGTATTGTTAATACGATTATTTGAAGTTTGGACTACATCACATTCACGTAATAAAATATTTTTAATATAAAATTTATATTTAGGTTCAATAATCGATTTTGTGTGGTCGAACAAATACATAACTTAGTCACCTGGGATCAACCAAGTTGTGTCAAGTTTTTTTTTACTATTTTAAATATCACCTAAAAGTAATTCAATCAACCTGGGCAGTACCCTAGTTCAATCACCCGATTGATCCGAATAAATTTTTTTATTTTCTTTACATATTTTTAATTTTATGAAATAAAAATATATTTTATGATTCATATAATAAATGTCTACACCAAATAATAGTATATTAAGATTATAAATTATATATCTAAAGATGAATAAATTATTTTTACTTTATGCATATTAATACAAAATAAACATAGTAATTTTCAAAAAATTAAGATTAATTGATTGATTATTCAATTTAAAAAATATTTTTAGCGTTCAATATTTTTTTTAAAGGCACAAATATAAAGACTGAGATTTTAAAGTTTTTGTTATATTTTGAATTGAGATTTTAATGTTGTTCGTTGTTTCTAAGAAAAAAATAAAAATAAAAACTTACACACTTAATAAATCTTTGCCGGATTTTTTAAATAATAAAATGAACTAAAGCCCAAAATTTAAGGTAGCATTTAATGCTGTATGATTTTTAAAGAAGAAAATAAGAAAAATAATGAAACTTACTATTTATAGGCTGCATTAAATTTTGACTTATTTTTTTGCTACTATTTTTGATAAATGTTAATTCTTATTATATATATATAGATACAATAAAATTATGGAATATGAATAAAATTCATTATATGTTTGTATAGTAATTTTATTTATAAAATAATATGTATCGATCACGTTTGAAAGCTTGCAATAGTTTTTATAGGGAGCTATGTCTTTTTCCTAGTGAGCTACGTCTTATTAACATCTAACTGTCAGAATTTATATTTATCAGTAGTTAAACAAACTAACACATACTTAACTTTTGTTTGGAATACTAACAAAAATTTTACCCTGGATTTTCATAACATCTACATTGTTAGAAAGCTTATGCTATAGCATTTCAATGAATCTTGAATCGATAATCAGATATCTTGATAATCGAAAAAATTAAAATGAGGTTTTTTTTATGCACACTAATTTCTATGTAATTGATTACCGATGAATCAATGATAAGAAATGGACAAATCATTTATTGCTTTGTTCTTCTCATCATTAATTTTAAAAATCCTAAATTTAATTTAAAGTTCGATTCAAAATTTTGCGTTAAGTGAATGAAAAATTATTTTCTGTCATATTACAATTTTTAATTGTAGAACACAAATTGTCAATTTAGATACCAAATGAAAGTAAAAACATATGTGCAACTCAAAAAAAAGGTATCTACATAGATATGTGCAACTTAAACAAAGTATCTACATATATCTAACTTAATGTTGAAAATAAAAATCATAAATTCAGATACCACATTTCACAAAAAATAAATAAATAAAAAGAAAAAAATTGTATTATATTTCATAAATTATAGAAATTAAATTTATCAAATATAATTAAAGTTAAAAAAACAATAAACATGATAATCTAAAAAAGAAAAATCTTAATTTTGTAATTATTTTTTATTTTATGTAAAAAAGAAATTGTAAAATTTCGAGAATTATTTGCATAAAAAAAATAATAAAAATTATAGAATTCCCATTGGATGACTAATATAGAAATAGGGTTTATCATCGTCTACACCCAAAATCCACACTCACAGTCCAAACCCCAACTGCACTCCCTCTCTCAATCTACCGGCCCAGGTAAAGGTATCTTAATCTTTCAATTTACTCTGATTCGCCTCTTTCTTGCTCTTTGTATATCGTTCTTTCATTATTTTTTTTGACTTTATTTTTCTGTATGTCAATATGCGTTACGCATTTCTTCCATTTCCCCTTTTTTCTTTTGGAGTGATAATTAGCCAGTTTCCGTTCTTTTATGTAGAAAGTGCAAACGTTATTTTTGAGTCAGAAGTTTCTTTCCATTTTCACCGTGGAGCAATGTTTGAGCTTGTTTCTTTCTTTTGGTTTTGTGCTCACTTTATCCAAATTTGTTTTGTTATATTGAAATTAATTGCGCTTCCTGTTGTATCGTATCGCCTGGGATTCGTTTATTTAAATGCTAAATTTTATTTACATTTTTATTGTGAAATAATATACTGTTATTTTTTTCAAATGGTTTATAGTAAGAATCGAGTTTTGATATGTTTCAAACAATGGTGTTTTTGAAGGCAAAACAGTGCATGCTTTCTCTGCTCTTCTGTTCTGACCTTGAAAGTTCTTTGTGAAAATTTCTGTCTCTTTATTTAGAAAGATTGTACGTTGTAAGGCTTAAAAGAGGTCATTGGGTTGTATGAGGGAAGACACTGAAATTTTGGTTTATTTATCATTGAAATTTAACATGAAATGTTATTTCTTCTTTTCTTAAGTTGTTCTATTTATTGGAAGGGCCATTTTTTACAATGTTGGGAGAACGTTGGGATGTCCTATGTGCCCACACTCAATGTGTATGTTAGTAAAGATTAAGATACCGCTATTCTGGCATTTGAGCTTATGCTTTCAAACATGTCACCTTGTATATTTACCTTTTTTTTTTTTTTTTTTTTTTTTTTTTCNTTTATGTTTTCTTTGGTTAAAAAAAATAGATTTGCAGTTTTGGCCTTCTCTACTGATTGGCTAAGTCATGTATGCAACTAAGGGTAGCTGGGCTGGACAAACATTTGCCCTAGCTAACAGCAATGACTCCATGGGGAAGAAATCAAGAATTCGACGGTCAAAAGAAGAACGGAAGGCATTGGCTGAATCTTTTATTAAGCAGTAATGTCATTACTCTACAAATTCTCATCTTTTTCTTCCTTTTTATCTTGTACCCCTGCATTGTAAAAGCAGAAAATTGTCGTGAGATAAGTAAATCTATCTGATTCTCCACCTGTAGCATTTTTATTTCAATGTTCAGTGTGCCTGTTACTTTGTTTATTATGCTTAGCCTGTAATACTCTTACTTCTGTATATTCATTTCATCTTGTCATCCAAATAATCCGAAGTCTGTCTTATGGCCTTTTCTATAATTCCATCATTCTAAACATGTTAATTTCAAGTCTCGTACTTATTTCCAGCATTTTTTCCCATTTGAAGAAAATGTTATGACCTTAAATTTAAGCAACTGCTATAACAGTTATTATATTCATTAGCCACAAGCCTACAATATAAAGCACTTTATAGAATCATAATGTAGCTTAAGCTAGTAAAATTACCTGTTTCTTACTGGCAGATGTTATTAGCTATATTGGAATATACTTGTCTTTATTCCTTGTTTTCTTTTTACTGTCTGTCTCCAATGCCCAAATTTCTCTTTGTGGCAAAGGCGCATAATTAATTTGATACTTTAACTTCGATTGCTTTCAGATATCAGAAATTAAACAATGGAAATTTTCCGTCCCTCAATCTCGCGCACAAAGAAGTTGGTGGATCCTTCTACACAGTGCGAGAGATTGTTCGAGAGATTATTCAAGAAAATAGAGTGTTAGGTCCACCCAAAATCTCTTCAGAAGAACATAACAATCAAGAATTTCTGGAACAACATCCGCTAGGCTCCATTACTATGGGAACTCAAATCGACTCATCCGTATCAGGTAGCATTGATGTGGTGACTCATATTTTGCCAGAAAACATTTCTACTTCCAATGAGCAGTTAAATGGATCTTTCCCCTTTGAGTTGGATAATGAACAAATAAAAGGATTAAGCGAGGTGGCTGAAAATGATGAAGCCATTGATAGAACTAGCAAAAGTCATCACGGACTTGATGATTACCTGGTAAATAATGATGAGAAGATTGTGAATGGTGTTGGGATACTTGAGGAAAGTTCACATGTTGATAAACCAGTCGTAATAGATATTGACCGTGAAGATAATAATGATGGTGATCTTTCCTCTAGCCAAAAGGCTAAAAAGAATGACGAGACAGTTGATAAAAATAAAGAGTTTGTGGAACAAATTAATGCAAAGTCTGCGGCTATTGAGGTTCTGGATACAGAGAGTTATGGAGCTCAACATGTAGAAACGTTCGAAACTGTAAATTCTCTTGTAAACTCTAATGTTGTTGTTGAGACATTTCCATTAAGGCCGGTGCCTAGGGCGGTTCATGACATGGATGAGAAAGCACCGGTAAATCTTCAGAGTTCGATTTTGGAAGGTTTTGTGCCAGTTGGGGTTGATAAAGGTGGTGAGATAGCAGAGCTTGTATCTGGTGATGCTTCACCCAATGAAATTACTAAGGTAACTTTTGTAAGAGGAGTTGAGGTGAAAATGAATATGGTGTCATTCTTAATGTCCTCTTTTCTTTTTTCCCACTCCTCAGGGTTCCTTTAAGATTTTTTTTTTTTCTTTTTAATTTCTCAGAGTGTAAGGAAAGTGGCATCATCATTATTTTTTAATAAGGATATTTTGTCTGCTGTCTTTCTACTAAATGTGATGTCATCATTTTTTGCCTTTAGGTTTCAACTAAATGCGCGATTTCCGAAAACTCCACTTTAGCGGAAAGCAAAGCTAGTGATGAAGATAGTAGCGGTTACCCCAATGGGAAGAATCCAACACTAAACAGGATAAATCTGTAAGTGTCAGCAGTTATCTCTCACTCAAACATGTTTGCCCTTTAACGTTAAAGCCTCCTTTTGTCATTTGATGAAATTACTTTTCACGTGTTTTCTCTGTGGGACAGTGGAACTTGGGAAGGGACATCAAAGAAATCTTCCCAACCTGAAAAGAATTCACTCCTGGCCATTGTGAAGGCATTCATCTCTTCTATTGTGAAATTTTGGACTGAGTAGTACATTTTCTGTTTGACTGTCTTCTCTTAGAAAACAGGTTAGGCTGGTTCTTTCAAAAAGCATATTTTCTCTGCATCCTACGGTACCTTTTTTTGGTAATTTGTTGTTTGTGATCTTGCGAATGAGCTTTAGTTGGCAGATTTATATTCTGAGAAGGTGAACTGAAGTTCTGTTTTCAGTATGATGCTCTGGAGATTTCATATACTAGATTTAGCCTAATTAGTAAATACATATCCCAATATATTTCAGAATCCAAAGTCTCCTTGATATGTGCCTGTTATCTGCAGACTGGAAACCACACGTATTGTGATAATTAGTTAGATTTAGACAAACCATGGCAATATTCATTAAATTACAAGATAGCTAGATTCTTGTTTTCTTTTTGATAGTTTGGCCACACCTATGGATATTAATATATTATTGATACTTATCCCTAGTTCATATTCAATAATCCTTGGATGAAAAGACCTGGTAAAGGTGCGAAAATCTACCAAGCACAGGAATATATATGTATGTAATTTTCATTTTATTGAGATTGACAGCCTGCCACTGAAGGCATGTTAGAGTTAACTGCAGAAAGCATGAATTTATATACTACTGTAAAATTTCTTTTTGATGTCTTTTCATGTATGTTTATCTGTTTCTGAGTCCACGGGTCTGAGTTTTGAGGCTTATATTGATAATACCTATTGACATTCTTTCTATGGCAAATGTTCAATCTTGCTTGTGATTGAGTAGAGTCAAATTTTTAATGGATGTTGAAGAAACAAACTGCAAATTTAAGTGGTATGCAGTCAATCTAATCAAAATAAACAACTAATTATCCAAATTTTAAAGTTACATATAAAGTTAAATAAAATATATGATTTGACATCTAAATTCTAAAATGATATATGGGTTTTCAACTATTATGATTATAAAAATATAATTTAACAATTTAATTAAAACATAAATTATTTTAATTTTAAAATTTAATATAAAATTTTAATATTTTTTATATATGCTTGTTAATTTAATAACCGTGTAATACACAGGTATTGTAGTAGTTGGAAATAATTCGCGATTGCCAGATCCTATTATAATGTTTATGTCTCGTTTGGGAGCAAAGCTATGCCAAGATGTGAGAATAAAACAGCCCACAATAGACAAATTACTAAAAGTTGGGGCTATTTGAAATCCCGAACACGTGATCTAAAGTAAACTAGTAAAACAATGTGAGTTGGCCCAACAATCTAGGGTAATCCTATCATGAAACTCAAATGTGGAAAAAAAAGAAATACTAATTTTTGGAATATTTACCCCAAAACACTCTCCAGACATGGTATGATTTTCGTAATAAAAAACATTAATTCTATAAATAATCACTTCATTATTTTGTCCTCTAAAAACGAAATATTATCATTTTCGATTCTAATGATTCACCCCGTCTCAACTTGCACTATAGCTAATTGATTTTGTTATAAATTTCCATTAATAATTTATATGTTTGCAAAATTGACTTTCATACTTGTTGCAAACATTGGAAAGAAAAAATGGCTTTCGGATTAAGGAGCGTAGGCAAGGAATAAAGGGATAATGTGAGGAAGAAGGGTCATGTGTTGAATGTAGTTAAGCCTCGTTGACAAGGAATAAAGGCTAATGTGAGGTCAATAATATAATTGCTTGTCCACAGATAATATATAATATTATATTAATATAATATAATGTAATATAATTGCTTGGGGGCAGACACAATTATTATTGGGGAGAGCATAATTTTGTAGAGACATCAATCATTGCACATGCTTCTATGCGAATATAACTTATAGCATAAAACATAAATTAGAAAATGAAAATATTGCATAAAATTCATCAATAGCAAATCAATGACAGTGAGCCCCCATGCCTTTCCTCATAATCACATGGCTATGAGACAAAATGATAATTAACCCAAGGGTAATCTAATACTACTTCCTACATTCCCTCTGCACCATTGACAGTATTTGTATTTTGTTATTGTATATTTGTATTATTTATTTTGTTTAATTCTAACTATCATATTAAATTTAAATTTAAGTAATTTTTTAATTTCATGTTGTATTGTTAGGGTATACTGTAAAAACTCGACTTACAATTTCTGACAAATCATTTTTAATGAGATTCATGTTTTAGTCAAGTGTGTGTTTGAAGTTTATTTATTTATGCAAACATAGTATTTTTTTTTTTATTTTACATTGTGGATAATATTGTTTGATGTGTCGAATAGAAAGATCATATTATCGGTGTCTTGTTAAATATAAATATTTATTCACAACCTAGAGGGAATTAAATTAACTGTCGTGAAAGGATGTAGTATGATTTTCGAGTTAGTTGATCTATGACTAACGAATTACACTAGTACATTCCGAATATATTGAACGAACTTGTGTGTGGGTGGGGAGAAGGGGGTTGTATTCCGATAGCTGGGCTGGGGGAAGATTTTGGCCTGTGTTGTGGTTTGTGGTCCGCACATGTTGTTTGGGTCGGGACGTCAGTTGGTGGGTGGGGAGAAAAGGGTTGTTTTTCAATAGTTGGGCTAGGGGTGGCCATTCAGGAGAGGAGTTTGGTCTATTTGCAGAGTTAGCCGCTTGTTGGAGTCTCTGATTTAGTACTCGGGTTGGGGTTCTATCCTTTGTACAGTCGTCTCCGGTGTCGAGCCGTGGTGTATTGCGGATTCTTTTCCGACGGGAGAGGGTGTTATTCTTGTATTGCTAGTGCATGTTAGTGTTTGTGTTGATGTTTTGTGTTGCCTTGTTGGTTTTGTTTTAGTGTTTTTCGTAGAAGCTTGAGTTTTGTCCATGTGGGAGTGTATAGTTTATTTGTTTGACCTCCATTAGATTCAAGTGGATGGCTAATTGGCTATTCCTAGTTGTATCTATGTGTGAGTATGTATTTTTATCAATCTAATCTATCATTTCGAAAAAAAAAAGTCAAGAGACACCTTGTCATCTAGAAAGTGTTTTTCTAACGGTTAGAAATGCATTACTTAAGGCTCACTATAATCGTACAAAACAGATAATTTTTATCGATTTGAGCTCGTGTTTAATTATGTTGAAATATCGACCTATTCATTTATCTATAATTCACTCAAAAATTTGTACATGTTCGAGTTGTTCATATAATTGTAAGTCAAAAGTTTGTATTCTTCCGTGCTTGTATATTTTATTAAACGAGCTTACTAAAATTACTTGATTAACTCGAATTATGTTTATTGAAGATCATTAGAGCTCGAAAACTAAAAATTTTACAAATAAAAATATATCTATATAATAGTACTTAATAGTTTTCTTTGAAAATATTATATATATATAAATATAAAACAAAGAACTAATATATTAAACTAATAAAGCTAACCAACATTATTGAATATTCACGAATAGGCTCGTGTTCGTATTCGTTAAATTAACAAACGAGCTTAATTTTTTATTTCATCTTAGCTCAACTAATAAACGAATAGTTTTATTCGAGGTGAAACAATCTTTCGTTCGTGAATGTTCGATTTGTTAACAGAAGAACTAGTTTTCTTCGAACTGGAACATACTTTCATTCTCGAATGTTCAGCTCGTTTACAAATGTACTGTAAAAGTAAATAGGAAATATCATAACAACAAATTTGGGTGAACAACATGGAAGAGGGATAGAAAGTAAAGGTTTTGATAATAAAAACTAAAAATAAATATAAAATAAACACAATGGTAGTAAGAATGCGGGGCAGAATCAAATGCTAACGCCATGAAAATGGAAACATATTTATTTGGTGATGATATGAAGGCTTGTTGTCTAGTATTTGCTTAATGCATAATATTTTGGTTACTTAGGATCTGCAGTTCTTAGCCGTAATAATCATGGCTCTATTTTGGTATCCTATGCACCTTTTCACTTTTCGGATATGTACCTATCAGCATTAAATATTAATTCTTTCTCTTAAGATATCGTCCTATACGTGATTTGATTTAATTAAGTAATATGGGCTTGATCATTACATAATACATTACGAAATCACATTTGCACATATTATACCTTTTTTGGTCACCCCACAATAGAGCTAGTTTGACTTTAATTTGATTTTCATTAGTTAAAAAATATTCAATCCATATTAGACTTAACACTCATTCATCTCAAATAAGCTTGATTTGTGTTGATATATAATAATCAAACTAAAAATGGAGTGAGCACTTTGAAGCGTGTTTAATTAAAGCGCAAACTGCTATGAGTAATCGTGGAACATGTTTGTCTCCACTCGATATGTCCACAGTCCACACCCATATGACATTTGCAAGTTAATTACCAGAATGGTTAATGATATTTTGTTATAAATGAATATATATATATATATATATATATATATATATATATATATTACCATTATTCTACTTGAAGTATCATGTAAGTTTTTTTCAGCTTTTTGTTTTTGAAGTGTCACGTAAGTTTAGTAAGTGAGCGATGATATCTTGTATATTAATTATCTGAAAGTTATTCTACATTAGTGATGTTGGAAAGAAATTATTGATGTTTACACATCGATGAGCACGAAATGTGAGGAGGAAGACATGATCATTAACGCGGGTGTGGGTCAAAAGTGTATTAATGTATCTAATATCTTATATATGTATTTATATCTTATATATGTATTTTGTGCATTTCCACTTATTTAATAATAATATTGCTATAGTACAACACTCATGTATTATAAGGATGTTGAATTGTAAAATATATATAATGATGTTATAAAACATAATTTAAAAATTTTTCTTCTAAAATTCAAAATCTTTATCCCAAAAATGGATTATTGGTTATAAAACATAATTTAAAATTTTTTCTTCTAAAATTAAAAATATTTATCCCAAAAATGGATTATTGGGTTTTATCTAAAATAACACTCATGTATTAGAATATAATACCATTTGTAGGTTGTCCCACATCGTTTATACATGGAAAATAGACATAACTTATAAACCTAATGGACTATTCTTCCTACTACCAATTGGTTTTGGGATGGAACTTCACTAAGGTGCATCTCGGCTCACCCTCTTATGGTGCGTTTCACGTTCATGAAACCGCACTCGTTTCCCCCGATTTTTACTATCATGTATTACATTTAATTATTCAAAATAATAATTTTGAATAATATTTAGTATATATGTGTTATAAGAATCTTGTGAATCAATATATTCTTTTTTAAATTTATATTAGATAAGATTGCATAACACTAAGAGAAGAGTTTTATTCCATTAGTTATACGTGTCGACCTTTTAAATTTATCAAAATATAATTAATTGTCAGTCTACTTTTGTTCCGCACAAATAACAGTGGCGATTCTTAGGGAAGACCACTGTTAAATGAACTCTCTGTATGACTCATTACTTGGTACTAAGTCGACTACCAAAATATGCGTCCACCTAGGAAAGACCCGTACACTTTTGAAATAGTTTTCTCCTACCATCTCGAAGGAAGTCGATTCTGGTGAACTGTGATTAAAATATATCCAAAGGGAGGAAGAAACAAAGCCAATGAGCAAATTTAACCACTTCACTAACAAACCAGTAATGGAGGTCGTGGAATATTAAAATTTATTTAATTATATTAAACACTTAGTATAATTCAATTAAGGAATTTTTTTAAATATGCTCCTATCACAATTAATTATTCTTGCACATAAAGCAACA